TTCTTGATTGAATCTCAATTTTCTCCTAAATCCAGCTTGACAAAAATTCAAAGATACAAATTTTCTAGTATATAAGAAATGCATCATTTCCCAACATAATAAATAAAAATTAGAATCTGAATATACTAATAAGATATAGAACTATTTAAAATATTTGGAGGTCAATGTAGCACATGCTTCTGATTAGCAAAACAATGCAAATCTGCACATTTTAACAGTTATACCAACCAATGAGAATGAACCTTTCTTTAAAAAAATAAATTAAGTACAAATGTAAAACAAGATTAAAAATCGATTATTTAATCAAAGTTTCCTACCTGCTAATTTAAATAATAATTAAAAACAGTTATTTGAATCACTTTGATTATAATTAGTGATTTAAATCAACTTATAACAAATGGATTTCAGTACTTTTCCAAGCAGAAGGAAAAAGGAAACCGTCACAGAAATATTTTCAAGAGAAGATGAAAGAAAAGATAGTAAGGCTAAGATTCATAATGGATCATAAGATGCTAGTAAGACAAACAAGAAAATGATAAGATATGCAGTCAGGACTTCAGTGAGGAAGGCCTTGTGGAGGGATCCATGTGTGATGGAGCAGGCAGCCCAGCCCAACTCACTGCTAGGTACAGGTCATGGGGAATGGCAGGGAGCTCCACACTATGGAACCAAGCCGGCTCCACCCATTTGTCTGCCGCCCTGGCCCAGCTCCATGACCGATACTACCAGTTTCATTGAGCAGGGCTCCCCACAGTGGCACAAAGCCCAGGCATGAGCCCCACGCGATGGAGCTGCTGGCCCAGCCACATGGAGTCCTGAGGCTCACCAGGACTCTGCACCACCTGGCAGTTCTGCCTGCCACTACCACTGGCTGCAGGGGCTGTGCACAATGGGAGAGCATGTTTGTAGGACTGGCCCCCACACGCACAGCCCTCTATACATACACACACCCATACACCCCCATATCCTCCCCTTCAACACACCCCACAAGTCCCCCACATACCCAGTCCCCCACAAACCCCATACCCACATACTCCCCACAAACACCCTACACCTCTACCACGCCACATCCACACACCCCAACCCCTCTGCAAACCCCACACACCCACACCCTCCCCCACACCCACAGCCCCTCCAAACCCCATACCCCAACACAATATACATTAGTAAGACTATTTTTGTGCTATAATGCAATCACTTCTATCTACATGATGCAAACATACACAAATCAAGACAAAAATATTTTTTGAAATAAAATTAAAATATATGAAGACTCAGATCAAGTATATAATTTATTTGTTTTTTTCTGGTTCCAAGAGGCCAAACCCAACTTCCCAAAAGAAGCACTTGTGGGAGCAAGAGGAGGGACTTCCTATGGCAAATGTCAGGGGTCAAGGGCAGGACTTCCAGACCCAAGATGGCAGCCAGCAGGCATGGCAACTGTCAAGGGGTGGGGCTACCTTGACAGCTCACCAAAACCTGTTAAGTGGGCCTCCAGCTGAAATCATTGCCTACCCCTGTTCTAAACAATGCCAATGTCTAACTCTTCTCAGGCTTCAGGCAATGTCATTGTTGATGGATCTTTTCACCAGGCATGAGTGACATATTTATATTATTGGACTTCAACCAGCACTGGCAACTGCTGATCATGGAATTTTGCTATCAGACCTCAAGAATTAAGCAGGATTATGCCAAGGTAACTTCAGTTATACACCAGCAAACACCAACTCACTTAGGCTGTATCTACAGAGCTCTCCAATTTTGGTGTCCCGTACAAATCTATCCTCTCTCCCCATGTTGTTCAGTAATATACACATGTAACTACTTGGCTAAACCATGAAACAGGTCAGAGTAAAACATCAGCAAGCCATAAAAGTGCCACACAACTGCCTGTCACCATCACATCAAAGACAAAAGGCACTATTGCTCAGCTATCCAATGGCTTTGGTGAAATCAGTAACTGATTGAAGAGTTGAAACTAAACATTAGAAAGGTGTCTGTAAAAATGGTGAAGAAAACAGAAAAATTCAGTGCCTCTACAGCACAACCTGGAGAGTCTCAAGACCAGTGGTCCAAATCATCTAGTTCTTCAGGCCAGATGAGTACCGCAGGACCAATCCACAGGACGGGGCCAGTCCATGGCCTGAATGTGGCATGCAATGCCAGTTCATCTGGCCTGCAGAGCTGGAATTTGATGGTGCTGTTCTCAGAGCTGCAACAGCTGCCACTTGTCTCACCATCACATTTCCAGCTCAGTAGGCAGGCCAGCAGGCTAAATGATTCAGTTCCTCACTCTAGATCTGGCCTGTAGAGCTCCCTAGAGATCTGGAAATTTAGCAGATAGACAGACAGCAGCAGTCTTAATTGCTCCAGCCCTGGGCAATTTCTAGATTACACATGGTTCTGTGGGCCAGATCCATCCTGTAGGCCATAATGTTAAGACAACCCTGAGTACTACTATTCACATATATCAAAGCTGCTTATTACATGCAAATAAGTACAGCTGTGAAAGGTATCTTTTTCCAGCTATAACTGGCAAGAAAACTGAACTTGTTATATTGTATGAAGACTTCTGCAATAATAGCCTAATATTATAAAAGCCTAAGTCTGTCTGTCCATCCATCTGTAATACTTTATTCACACTTTGATTGGCTGACGGAAACAGAAAATCAAAGTGGTCCAAGCGTAGGAGAGCGCCACCATGATTCCAAAGCCACGATGAGGACCAGATGGGGGTGGGGGAGCCAAGGCCAGCAGTGCTCCCTGCAAGAGACAAAACAGCGGCAGCATGGGGCTTTAGGTAGTGGCACTCCATGCCAGCCCCCGCTCCTCCACCCCGTCAGTGACAGGTATTTGGCTAGTATATACATAATGTCCAGGCTTAATTGGTATATTTTCCTACATCTAAATAAGACACCTCTCACCTTGTAAATGTATTCATGTTTTCCCAGAGCACAAAGAGCCAGTTCCTCACTAACACATGGTGAGAAAATGCATTAACAGAGTGTATTTCTCTCTTCATTGGCTGTTTGCAGAATATAGGTCAAAACCATACTTTCATTCTCAGTCTGCAAAGCCTTATATGAGATCAAGCCAAGCAGATGACTCCCCCATTCAGTATAATTCCGCTCTATCACAACAGATATAGATCTCTTCCTGGGATCTTATATAAAGTCTTCAGTCAGGAGAAATCCAACAACATGTTCTTTTCCTTCAGATCCAGAGAGGTGCAGCCACCTTCCCACAACTCCCAATTCCAGGACTCCTGGTCCTGGCTATACATGTCCCCCATGGCTGGAAGCCCCCTCAGTGAAGAGAGAACCCAGCAAGAGAAGCCTGGTTCTTGCCAAGGCAGGGGAAACCCAAGATGGGGCTCCCCCTACACCCACAAAAAGGCACAGTCTAATGCACAATCCCAACAAAAGATGAACATTTAGTTTCCATAGGTAAAAAAAAAGTGATCATTCATGTGACTGAATTGCTCTCTGTTAGGTATCACCTATATATAAAATCAGAACTGAAAAAGGCCTCGAGTATTAAACCATAGTCTTTAAAATATTCCTTACTTTTTTACTCAATAATGTAATTCACACTTAATGTTTCTAATGGAAATTGAGGTCCCAGAGATTCCAGGTTCAGAGTCCATTACCTAAATACACTTTCTATGAGTTTGAGAGACTATTTAATCTTCATAACAGTATTTAACGAACCAATCGTTTGTTACTATGAAAGTATTCATAATGCAGTCTCATAACAATTAGGTCTGTGATTCTAAATTCCTGGTTTGAATTCTGAAATACCAAATTAAGAAACATCTTTCTCAAAAAGCAATTAGGTATTAATCATTTACACTGCAATAACGTAACAGGATCAAGAAAAACATCGACTCTCCCATAAGTTCTTTTCTAACAAGCCACTCATTTTTCTTCTTTCTGATAAAAAGCCCATTCCTGTGCAGCTAGAATCTACCTTTCCCACTTCTAATCCTTTTTCAAAAAACAGTTGCAATTCTCGCTTCCCACTTTTGACTTTGCTTTGCTCCCCTACATGTATTATCTTACTCTAGAACTCAGTCTCTCCAAAGTAATCAGATTCTGAACTATTAATGGTTCTGTGTTATATATAGCATAATCCATAAAGGGATTTTTATTATTTTTTACTGTTCATCCCCTCCTTTCCCTGTAATGTTATCATCTGTTACTTTTATGTCAAATAACAGTCCAAACTAGATTTTATGCTATTTTGGGATGCAATAGTCGTATTTTAGCATCTAAAAGGTTGCCTCTTTCTTTGTAGTATGACAGCAAAAAGCTCATCAAGAATAATTAAAAATATAAGAAATAATTACTCTATCTTTTCAATGACTTATCACTTCCTTCAAATTTTAATTTAAATAAGTTGATGAACTGCATTAAACAAATGAAGGAAGCACAAGCACATAGGGACTTAATGATGAAGAAAGACTTCTAAATAGTTTATTTTGCTGTTCCTTTTGCTAAATCTCAAGCTTTGTGTTAAGTACATTATGCAATACATGGTTCTCTTACAAACTGCATGCTGGAAGCTTTCATGTCTAAGCAAAACAGAAAAAACAGAATACAATATATCTCCTAACATTTGTAATTAAGAACTATTTTTCTCCTAATCTCCAGTGACTGGACACTTTATTTTTCCATTTTTATTCTTCTTTTTGATTCTTCTGAGTTGATGGTTGACTATAACAAATTTGTAGGGCCCTGAGAAAAATCACAATTTCGCGGACTGTGCGGATACCATAAAATTAGCCCCACACCGCAATTTTTAAGGGTCATGAGCCTGTGCCAGAAAAAAAAGGAACAATAAAAAAATACCAGTATGTAAGAGTTCTGAAGTAAAGCTAAAGTCTAATTTTTTAAATTAGGCCTTATAAAATGTGAGAAACTGATGACATGGTATTGTGTGATGAGCTGAGTATGTGAACTCAATCACAGCAATCCAAAAAGATGTTTTTAAGTACTTACATGGCTTGCAAACTTTCTGCTGTTAGATTATTCCACATAATCTCATTGGCTTGAAGATTTTCATTTTCTTCCAGTAAAGAGGTATCAAATTCTATTTCTTGTTCTACAACCTCTGGTGACCTATTAAGTAACCAAAATAACTAAGATATATATTTATGGCATATACATTGGCTATTAATATCACTCACAGGCTAAATAAGTTTCATTTTTTTAAATGGTCATGTAAATAGAGAAAAAGCATTTAAGCACACTTAGTCCTTTGACACAAGTTACTTCTGTAGAGCTATAAAAGCCCTTATAAGGCTACAATAAAGGAGTGTTCATACATTTTTAAGACTGCAAGAGTGCAGTCTTAAAAAGCATACTAGAAAACAAAAACTAAGACAACTTCCTGTATTAAGGTCACTATCTAACCAAGACTTTCAAAGTGTATTCATCTGGGTGTATCAGTTCACACCAAGCGATTTGGTTGCAAGACCAGATATAAATAATTGGACCCAACTAGCTTAGTGAGACTATTTAACTGAAACAGGAGACTGCTCAATCACAGGCAACTAAAATTCATTCTTAAGACAAAGCTGGCTTGAAAGAGCACAGGATATAGGCAACAGTGGGCATGCCTACACTTCAGTCACAAAGAAGTAGCTATAACTAGGGGCCTACCTAAATCCTGGTGGAAGTCTGAAGCACAGCAGTGCCTTTAATTATGCTCTTTTCACCATGCACCCCCACCCCCAGCCACTGAGTGGCCAAGAGGCAATTAATGCTGCAGCTTGGGTCTTTCAGCCACTCAGCAGTGGGGAGGACATGCAGTGAACAGAAATTAAAGGTGCCACTGCACTGTGAACATCCGCCATAATTTAGGTAGGTCCCTAGCTATAAAATACACACTGCCAAAGGAGAAAGGTAAATTACTTGGCAGAGCTGTGCTGCCATAGTTTCGATCACTACTTGTACTCAAGATGACTAGTTTAAAACTAGCCCAAGTACTACTGATCTCTACTCTAAATTTCACTCTCAGATGCACACCATTTTTTGTGGTAAATTTCTCTGACATTTCTACCTCCAAAAGTTGTGTCTAGTTGGATATTTTTAACAGATATTAGCTGTAATATCTTTTTTTTTAAACTGGTAACTTAGTGTCAGACTCCTTTACCTATAAAACAAGTCCTTGCACAGTTTAAATGTGTGGGGACGCACAACTCAGACAATCTTATAAACTATACTAAAATCATGACAGGCAAGGAGCAACTTTAGGAAAACCAACTGAAAGAAAATGAAACATCATTTCTGCAGTGTGAAGAGGCAATATAGAATATGGTTTTCTCTTGTCAGAGAAAAATGGATGAAAGTGAAAAAATATATACCTGTGAGTTTCTATGAAGCCACTGTACTCTGTGTTTGGGTCAATCTGTTCAACGGAAGTCTGAATCTCTTTATGGACATTCACTATTTCTTCTGTTACAAGACTGGTGATTTGACTGTATTCATCAAGGATTCCTTTTCTAAAGAGAAAAAGATCCACATATACAACACAATGGACTTTCATGAATATTCGGAAAACACCTTAATTTACAAACTAAAAGAAAGCATTTAAAGAAGCAGGAAATTACTTAAATTTTAATCTTTTGTGTAAATATTCCTAATGTTTGGTGTTCTATAATATATACAAACAGTCAACTTCATAAGAATTTTGACCCTGAACTTAACAAAACAATACTTTAGTCCTTGTTTTGGTAGCACTGTAGTGATGTTGCAGCCATGATGGCCCCGGAATTACATGAGGCAAGGATTTGTCAACGACAAAAATATCCTTTATTGGACTAACTGCATTTGGGATGGACTTGGATAAGCTTATGAATGTGAAACTTTCTTCTTTAGGTCTGAGAAAAGAAGCAGGTACAGTGACAGTTAAAAACCAACCTGGAGTCCTGTCAAACTAAAGAGAGAAGTAAAGGATACAGACACACAAACTCCAGTAGTAGCATACTTTTTACACCTCCCCCTCCCCACTTTCTGACCTCACGTCATAGATCATAGACAGGTGGCATCAGTAGCAGAAATCACAGTGTCTACTTGAACTACCTGAAGCTATGGCTAAGGTTTCAGCATACAAGCAGTTAAAAGGAGGGCTGCAAGAACTATTCCACAAAAGGAGGTGTAACCATGAAAAGGGCAAAGAAAGGCCAGGTAATCAAACTGGTTGTAATGAACAGTTGAGCACAGGACCCCAGACTGGCTAGAGAGCTGGTGCTAGGATGGCAGCTCAGCCTGCAAGCATGGAAGGACAATACTGTTGGTGACCACAACAGTTAGAGCAGTCAGCCTTCATCATAATGCATTCCCACAACACTGAGCTGGAGCAATAGAGACTGATCTTAAGGGAAAGTGAACTACAGCTGGAGGGACTGCAAAAAAAGGTAGAGTATGAAGATTGCCAGCAAAAGAGAGAATTGGAGCTGGAGATAGACAGAGTAGTTCCAGGACTTCAGAAACAATAAGTCCAAGAACTCCAGGGGAACACAGATCCTAGTCCCAGGTCCTACTTGTGGTCACTACAGACTTGGGGGACAAGGGATCAGGGAAGGTCCTCACTAAGTATGTTCACTCCAAGTTCCTCCACAGAAAATGGAGCATGTTAAGGCAGGCAACAATGATGGCAAGGTGTGTTTGGAGTGAAGGTATGCTGAATCCCAGGTCTCTGAGGTCTGGGAACAGACAGGCAAAGAGGAGGTTTGTGTCTCTGACAAAAACTAAGAGCACTAGCTACTACCTGTAACCAGTGCTTTGCTGGATAGGGAATATACAGAAAACACCTTAGGAGTGGGGATGGACATAGACCAAGCACCTCAAATTAGGGGTGCACAAACCCAGGCCCACAGGCCAGATCCAACCTCCAGCAACGATTTTTTAATAACTTTTATTGAACCAACTGTATAATTGGGAAAGCAGTCTGAGGAAAGACATCTGTGGCAGGACAGTAAGGGGCACTCCTCCACCAAGCCACCTGCCTCACTGCGCCCAACCAAAAACTAAGCCTCAAGTGCCTCCCCTGGGGCATCTACATCTGGCCAACCCCCTTCCTGCAGCACACCCACAAGCCTGGGGTAACTGGTGCCACCACCCGAGGTCTGGTCTTTATCCAGGCTCTGTGCCTCCTGGGGTACACAGGCCTTGTAGGTCTTAAGAGTACTTAACCCACCATGAGATCTTGGGGTGCTTCCTTTAGCCTGAAGCACAGAAAGTAGCCTCCCTTAGTCAGCCCAGCAAAGGGAGCAAAAAGGCTTGCCCAGTCCCTCTCAAACATTTACTGCCAGGCTTGCTATGATAGATAGCTTTACTGATTGGAGAGGGAGGGCATAGGGAAAGAATAGAAACCAAAAGGAATTTTGAAAGAAAACAGCCTTAAGCAAAACAGTATAAGGGACTTGTTGGCCCTTTCAGTACGTGTCTAGAACACTTAAGTCTAAGTTGCTGGCTACAATTCAAATAAATTACTCACAGCAGCATCCAGAAGATTCTGAAGGTACACAGCTTGATTCAGTAACCAGAAGGTGTCTCTCTGACCCCCAAGATGGAGGGACCCTATTTATAAGCTTTCTGATCTCACCACCTGGACCCAACCAACATCAGGTATTTTCTGAGCATCACTGATGCTGACCAGTGAGTTTGAGTAAGGTCAGACCTCACCTTGAGAGACCACTGCCTTAGAGCTGCTATCCCAGGTCAAAGGTGGGAAGTTTAACAATAGCCTGACCATAGGGAGAGGAAATCCTCCCCTCCATAGGGGATCCCCTAGGCAACCAGGTGGTTGCCTAGCAACCAGGCTGATAGGCACATGGGTAGAGAGAGAGAGAAGGGGAAAACAAACAATCCAAAAAGATAGGGCTGGGATGAAGTTTTTTTCCACACATGCTAATTAGCAGATGTCAGAGCAGACCTGGTTAATCAAGTCTGTTGGATCATGCTAATTAGCATTCTCCAGCAGCCTTGGTGTCTCATATATTCAGCATCCCCAAACTTCAAAATGGTAGCAAATGAGCTTGAGTTAAAACACTCCCACCACCATTTTGAAGCACGGAATACTGAATGCACAAGACACTGTGAGTGCTTAAATCAGAGCAGCTCCTGACAGCCACTCTGACTATAAGCACCCCTCCCTCCTCCACACCCCAGAGCACATGTAAAGACACCCTTGAAATCCAAAAAGCTTGTCCAACACCTCTCCTAATTATACACTGGTACAATAAAAGATATCACAAAAAATCCTTTCCTCTCATACACTTCCTGGACCATCACAGCCACAACAACATTGTAACCCTACTACATTTGTTTCTAATAATGTTCAACTCAGTATTACCTGGAGCATGAAATAAAAAACTGTTAAAAAACAGGATAAATTAATAGCACAAGAAAAGATAGATCTTACAATGCTTTAATCATTTCTTCTTGCATCTTCTGTAGTGAATCAAGTAGCCGAGGGAGAGTAGTGTCGTAATATTGGTGCTGATATAACTGTGCTCCTTTCAGTGCCAGTACATACTGATTATGCAATGTGTGCAGTTTCATGTTAGCTTTATCATAACGGTCTTTGGCTTTATCAGTCTCCTTTCCTAAGGAAAAGAAAAAGGGAATGAGTTTATGGGGATTTACAAGATTCTTGTGCTTGAATATTTTTCAATGATACCAGAAATGAATACTACTTCTACATCAAGTTCACCTCTTTTTGGACCCTAATGTCTTTTTCAACAATTTGCCATAGATAATCTGAGAATACACAGGTCTTATATATTGAACCAAAATTTACAGTCATTACTCAAGACTAAACTCTGGTAACAACTCCCAATGTGTTCAGCAAGGTTTGTAATGAATATACCTTTAAGAAGAACTATATTTACATATATTTACAAAAAGTGTGTGAAAGCTTAGCAACGGCTGTCTTCTCACTGGTGTGAAGAAAGCATAATAATTAGAAGTTATATCACAAACATAGACAAAGATGCCTCCCAAAATAAACATGTGGCAGAAAGCAACCTTGGTTTCTCCCCAAAAATCTCTGCCCTGTGACACTGTGATTTAAATCTCTGTGCTGTGACCATTCAATTATGCTCAGAGGAGCATAAACTTCGGAAAGAGCCCTCTCCCCCAAAAACTCATGAACAAGGAACAGCCGGACACTAGAAAGAATCTCATCAGCCTCTGGAAGAAGTGTGTGAGTAAGCTACTCAAGATCTGATAGATATCTAGCTGGCAGTAATTTAGATGCGTTATCAAAAGGCTACCACAGCCAGACTGTTTGCTCTTTAGGATTTCTAAGATATTGCTCAATCCTGTACCCTAATTTACCCTACCCTTCGTAATCAATAAAGTTCTCCTTTTTGACTGGTGCGGGAGACTTATTGAGGGGCGGGTCTAAATTATGCCTAAGAGACCCCTTAGGTCTGCGGACTAAGGGAGACTTCACTTTTTGCCCCCGGACTTCGGGAAGTGCCCCAAGTGCCTGTATTGGGTCAAGTACCCATAGGACTATTAGGCCTGTGTTTCCCCAAGGATACAGGGCCGAGACAGTCCACTCTCGGGGTGGTGGCGGCACATTACCCCTGGACTAGCGAGCGTGCTCCGGGAGAGGGGTCGGCCGGACATAAGGCGCCCCTAGGGAGGCATTCGGAGCCTGGAAGGTGGTCGGGCACAGGGAGGTGGGCGGCTCAATGCAGGAGCACCCCCTACTGGCCTGCCTCACGTGGTGGAAATAGCAGTGGGATACGAATACCCAGCTGTTTTCCTGAGGTGGGATCTCTGCACCCGCCACAAAACATACAGTATTTTGTCTGCTTCTGTTTCTTACTATAATATAAATTACCATATTTTCGCGCATATAGTCTGTGGGCTATACACGTTTTTACAAACTTGACAGATGGGTGCAGGGTATACAAGGGTACAGGCTATGCAGAGTCTTTAGCACACCATAGCCCGTCCCCGGCTGTGGGCTGATGTCATGGTGGCGGCAAGCCCCGGCAGGATTGAGCATGGATGGCGAAGGCAGTAGGGAGCGGGGCTGCCTCCCCCCTACCCCCACAGCTCCTCATCCCTCCCCTCCCCTGCACCACTTTTAGCTGGCTCCAGCTCCAGCAGCCGTGCCCAGCAGAGCCTGTGCTTGAGCGCGGCTGGCGGCAGTGTGGAGTGGGGCTCACAGCTCCTCATTCCTCCCCTCCCCTACAGCAATTAGCTCCAGCTCCCGTGCCCAGCAGAGCCCACACTATCAGGTGTGGGGAACACATGGGTGCAGTCTATACACGGACTATTTTATGAAAATACAATTTTCCACAGCTTATACATCGGTGCGCATTATATCAGTGTGTGGGCTATGTGTGTGAAAATACAGTACTCACTGTTTCTCAAAATACTTTTACTCCATGGAATTTTCTTTTGATATTGCAGATTGACCCACTCCTTTATGCTATGAAGTCCAGCTGAAGATTATGCAACTGGAAATTCAGATTCACAACCCTGAACAATTTACTGAAATGTCCCTTTAAGGCCCACTTTTTGTAGACTCTTAATATACTATTTTTTAACGGTTAACTAGGTTAGGCTATATCCTGTACCTTATTATCTTATTTATTTATATCATATTCCAGTACCTTACTCATCTTTTAGACTCTGATCATGCTTTAGAAAGGCAGAAAAGTCCACCTGTACAGAGCTGATCGCAAAAGCAGAGTCTTGGACTGTAACCTTCTCAGGCTAGCCACTGTTTGACATGTGTGACTCCTTTGTTATTTTCAACGTTGTACCAACCAAACCACACTGTCAGCATTCAGATTTTAAAAAAAATAATCTTTCCTTCTTCAATGGACCTTAACCACTAAAGCCATAACAGAAAGTATAAAAATGATACAGTAGAAAAAAGTTTGGATTTCTATTGCTGTGAAGTAGCAACTGTCTCATTTTTCTGAAAACTATTTTATTAGTTAAAGCTTAATGGTCATTGTTAGTATAATACATGTAAAAAAAAAAGTTATCTTATGACTGAACAAAACTTGTAGGTAAACGCTGTTGCCAACTTGTTTCAAGAAAATTTTTTCACTTTGGAACCATGTACCCCAGCTCCAGAATGATAGCAAGAGACAGCATGATCTACAGAGCTCAACATTCATACAATCATTTTCAACATCATTTTGCATAGTACTCCGTGGCTGAATATTTTCAAGTCCAGGGTTCAGGATTCGTGGTTTTAAATGTGCATGAATGCCAAACCCACATCTTAAATACACTTAAAGGAGCTCTGCTGCTGCTGTGCTCCCGCCACCACCACAGCAGCCATGCCACCCACCCCCCGCAGCTGCCGGGGACACTGCATTCATGAATGCAGATGGTGTTCATTAATGCAGTGCCTTATTTGCAGATTTCACTATTCGCGGGGGATACGAGAATATATCCCCCATGAATGGCAAGGGTCTCCTATACTACCATTTCTGCATGCCAAATTTAGATGCACAAATACATACACACATTAACTAATCAGCATGTCTAATCTGAGTACTTGCTTTTCTAAAAATCTAGCCCTGTAAATTCAAATAGTAAATGTCCTGTACTTTAACACACAAAAAGAAAAACTAGCAGGGAATATCTTGGTATTTTTGTGCACCAAACAAAAACATACACATCTCAAGAGCTTCATTAATCAAAACTTCTCATCTTATACACCTATACTAGTAAATCCACCTTGAAGTCAAGATCCACTAACATACTAAACCCCAAAAGATTTAATTTTCCCTGCTACACTGGGTCAATTCCTACTTTGCAGAGTCGACATTCTTAACTGAAGATCTCTATAGGACTTTTCTCAGGGGCACAATCCTTTGATGTTATGTTTGCTTGAAGCAACAACATTTCTACTTCACCCAGAGAATAACTGTATTCTATTACCGGAAACATAAAACCAATATGCTTTTCAGTTTGATACTCAATGTACATTTCTTAGAAAAGTGTAGACTGAATTTTGAAGATCCTACAAGTCAGAACCAACTTAAATTTCTTCCAAAACATTGCACACACAGAACTACTGCACTCACAATATTTTCATTTATATTTTAATCAATAATTTTCATTTGGATAAAGAAAAAAAATCAGCCTAAATTAAATCATCTTGCAAATTAATCTTGACTGCTCTATATTAAAAAGGTTTATTCCTTGACCCCGCAAGAAAGCTAAAATAAATATTTATTTTAACAGTATACAACACCACTTTCTAATTACCTATGAAAGCAAACAAGAAAGAAAACTTTAAAATAACTTAATTTCCAAAGCTTATGGCCAGCAATTAAAATGAGGCACAAAGAAAAACAATTAAAAGGAAAATTATTAGACAGCAAACATAATATGAGCCTGATTAATATGGCATTTGGAGACAATTAGAATCTAAAAGTTGACATCTCATCTGCAAAGATAGTTAAGTGCACACAATTTACCTATCCCCCAAAATAAAAATCTAAGGCTGTGCCTATCCTGCATGATACAGTATGGTATACGCATGTTTAAGTGAGCTCAAGTGCTGGAGGCAAGAAACTAGCTCATTGTGGTTAAAGTGGTCTGCACTGAGCGCTAGGCTATCATGGCAAGTAGCCAAGCTAGCCCATTCAAAATTATTTTAGCTAGTTCCATCATTGTACTGCAAAAAGCAGTGCACACACATTCCTTAACTAAATTGTACAGTCCTCTTTGAACCCGTATATGACTTCTTTGCTTCCCATCCATCTTTTGAGTCCTACAAAATATTATCCCTCTTTACACATAATTGTTCTCATGTCCTTCTACTTCTCGCCTTCCTACACTGCCCTGAAACCTCTAAAACAAAATTAAAAAAAACATTATTTATCTCCCTTTTCCCACCACATCTTGTATATTCAGTTAAACTGCCCTTTACTTTGGAAAAAAGCTACCACCTCTTAACCCTCCTACCTTGCTCTTTTCCCTACTTTTTCCCAAAGATAATAATTTGAAATATTCTTTCTATTGCCTTTTCAGTTTGTATTATAAGATGTTTTGACACCATCTGTAAAGCACTGTATGCATTTATATAAAATAATAACTACAGTACCCCATTACATTCTTTTCCAGGAAGAAGACAGAGAACAGTAGCATATAGTATGCTTACTAAGTTATGCTTATGGGAAAAGTGCTTCATCTATGCATGTATACATCTCCATAGACAGATCCAAGTGGGGAGGGGGTGTGCAGAAGCAGCAACTAGTGCTGCAGGACTGGTGGTATGCCCCACCCCCAGCTTCACCCATCCCAGCCACTGGGGCAGGCTGACCACCCCAGAGGAGCAGCAGCAGCTGGGGACTTTAAGTCCCTTTATCAGATAAGGATTCCCACCACTCTGCTTTGGGCACCCATTCCCTTCCACTCTGCTCAGTGGCATGACTCTCCCCTCCCATTTCATTCCCTACCTTGCCCTCTCTATTTACTGCTTTGAGCACAGGAAGACCCGCAGGCTACCACCGTTGTCCCAGCTTCTCTTGCCCCACAACAGCTGAGGCTGTAGAGAGCAGAAAGGATCCCAGTTCACCTGGAGGCCATAGCAACATGGGTTGGGTTCCTACTCCCA